TTTTTCGTTTTACATTTTCATTTATTGTCATTTCCATTCAGTCATTAAGTGCTATTGAAATGTTAATTTACTACATATCCAAACAAACAAACAAAGTGTGCAATCCAATGAATGTTAATCTAACTGGGTTTTGATAGATAACATATCTCTTTTTCTTCTCTCAATTATTTTATTTATTTTGTGCACTCTAATCAATATTAATCAAACTATTGTTCGTTTATAAATTTTAAGAATGGCGTTTATCTTTTTTCAGAATTAGTTCTTATTGTATTTAATGTATTTGGGTCTACAACAGATGATACAAATGTTTGTGTCAGTAAATGTGTACTAACAGAGGCGGGGGGGGGTGTGTGGAAATAACGGGGACAGAGCTGGCTGCTGTCAGACGATCAGCTGTGCAGCGTCATCACAAACGGACGTCGCTTCACGTGACGCTCCGGAGGAAAGGACGTCCCATTGCTCTTAAAACTAATTTCCCTGCTTCTCGTGGTTTCCTTGCGTCTCTCCATGCTTCCCTGGTGGGAGGGACTAAACGCAGGGAAACGACGCAAGTGAGGGAAGCAAGGATTTCATTTAATCGACCTGAGAAGCACCCCTGTACTACAGCAAAAGTATTCTCCGTCGGGACTTCCTGCAACAACACCACGCCGTTATCAAAGATGTTCTATTGAGAAGACGATCACTACGTGACAAAAGTTTTCAAAACCGTGGATCCTGAAATCAGTCTTACTAACTGCTGTCTGTGCAATTTACTCCGCGCGAGTTGGCAGACTTTATTTTGCTTCCTTTAACATCATTTTTCATGGTGGGGCTAAGCCATTTCTTGGTATGGGTGTAGCCTACCCCAGCCATACCCTGGCGCTGCCACTGGTGGCACGTATGGGGCGGGCCATTCTGCACATGCGTTAAATGCGTTAAATATTTTAACGCAATTAATTCAAAAAATTAATTACCGCCGTTAACGCGATCATTTTGACAGGACTAATTAAAATGTGTCTTTACTACACATGAACTATTACCCTCACCCCCCCCTGCAGCTGGACAGACAGGGAGCTCCTTCTCCCACAGACTGATCCAGCGTCTCCTCCGGCTGGCAGAGAGCTCACTTTAGCTTCTCCCTCTCCAGAACCATGAACCCTCTGCACAACAGCAACCTTGCACATCTGTCATTTATATACTTTGCTATATAAGTCAACTACATGTAAACATTTCAATCCATCCACACTATTCTATAATGTCAATCATTTTTAATATATGTATTTTCTTCTATACTTATATTCACTGTTTATTTTATTTTGTATCTTATTACTTCTATACTTTATTGAAACGTTTTTTATTGTGTAATGCCTGAACACACTGTAACATAATAATTCAGTACATTATTGAAATGATATCATGTTATCACAATTCAAATTAAACTTAAATGAAAAAAGGTTACTGAAACAATATTATATAAAACCCACAAGTTTATTATATATGAAGTAAAACAATCGTGCATTGTAGAATACTAATCATATTATAGTACAGCCGTTACCTTTGTGTACTTTTTAAACATAATAGTTGTGGTTCTCATCCAATGCTTCATATAATTATGACTTCATATTGTTACAAATGAAAGGTTAAAATGTCTTTCCATGTTGTCAGATCAGAAGTCTTTTAAAGACCTGAATACAGAGTATTACAGAGTACAGAGTATACATAAATGAATATACTAAAATCTTACTGACACCCAACATATTTTAACATTATGATGTAACATTTAAAGAAACCAGGAAAATATGCTCATGATCTTTGTTGTTGGTAGTCCTGAAAGACATTAGACAACATGCTTTACACATTTTAAAATGTCCATGTTTTTAGATTTAAAGCTGATGACCAGTATTCCTTTCTTTCTAATGTGAAACCTGAATAAAGCATCATGGTGTCACTCAATGCTAAAATGCTGTATCGCTCATAGATGGACTTTTGACTATAAAGGGACAATATTTCAAAAGTGATATATAATATAAACCTACACAATCTTTGTACCCTTAGTGGATAAAACACATTTATGACATTATCGCATCTGAATGCAATATATCTGTCCAACAGCACCCTCTGCTACAACAGGACACAACACGTGGTTATTTTACCATTTCATGTATTTTGTTTGTGTGTCATGCCAGACAACTCTAGGCAACCTTTTATACACCACTTCAATTAGTTACTTTTTTATTTTTAAAACTGTCATAAATAGTTTTGTCAATACATAATAGACATACACAAACCACTGCATAAAAACATGTACACACAACTCATAGATACATACTTAAACACAACACAACAGTTTTTCAGACGGCAGAAAGGAAATTGTCCGATCAGCCTTTGTCCAATCACAGACTCAGTTTGCTCCATGGTAGTCTGTGACTTGTCGAGGCTTTCTCTTCTCCTTAGCTCGGTTCCGATATGTTTTGTTTTGGTACAACTGTTAATTATTGTTTGATGTATTACCACGGTGCATCTGGTCTTCCATATCTGCATACAAGGGACGCAGAAGAAAACACTTTGGTGCTTTCAATAAGTGATAGAATATATCCACCATATTTGTATTCATTTATTTAAAACAAATATATATATACTTGGAAGTCCATTCCATTCAAAGGTGTATATTCATTTATGAAATCAGCATATACTAATTTGTAATATGAGCCATGTCTCGCTCTACCTCTCCTTTTTGTCCACCTTGATTTATCCCCAACCCAGGGTGCTTTCCTTGATATTGCCGCTGTAAACATTTTAACAAAAGTCAATTTAAGTTTAATATCTAGGTCTACGTCTCCAAATACGCCTCCATATTCCATTCTTTTAAATAATAAATTACGTTGAGTAACCTCCCTCGTTGTGCCCCACACCAAATGTGTTTGTTTAATTATTTAATTATTTGGGAGGGGTTCAATTCTCCCAATTTAGGTCAGCACAGTTTTCATTACAGTCAAACCAAGTATTTTTATTTCTTGTTTAATTTAATTTAAACGTTAATGGCATAAGTTAAGTTTCCTCTATTATATATTTCAGATTTGTTATGATAATTCCCGGTTTAGTCAGTTTTCAAATTAGAAATATTTTCTTCACCCGTTTTAGATTTAACTTGAATCTGTTTTAAAATAATATACTGTTTGATTAGAGTAACATATTTACTATGTGTAGCTTTATTTAATTCTCTACATTTGAATTTAAATAAATGTTTTATCCTATGTTTTAATGTTTCCCATAATCCACAGGATTGTACCATTATCACATCCTGAGAAATTGTGGATTTGTTCACATTTTAGTATCACTAATTCTTATAAATATTTCCTTTATCGAATATGGACCCTTAAGTTCTCTTAAGTCAGCACTAATGTACTTTGAACATAGGTTTCCCTGCAAACTGAATTTCAGTGGATACACATGAAGAATTGTTATTGCTCGAAGCAATCGAAGAGAAATGTCGGCTCAGAATTTTGGATAAAATGTTGCAATAACTTACCATTTATATACAATAGTATATACTATTGTCCTGCAGTTTAGTAACACTATGGAGTGGCCTTGGCTCCATACTTGCTCCATCCTTCTGTTGCGGCTTTCACACCAGCGCTTTTCCCTTTCTAGTTCCGAGCTAGAGCTTTTCTGGTTCAGCTCCGGTTTCCCTTTTCTGCTCCCGCTCTGTTCACACCGCCCAGAGCCCGACTGGTGCTGCCGCTGCTGCGTCATGACGTCACCGTTTACATCGCTGATTTGCTCTCCTACGGCATTACGACGCTCACAACAACAACAACAACAACAACAACAACAACAACAACAACAACAACGGGGAACTGCGTCGGGTCGATGATCGTGTTGCTTTTAATCACACGAAGCCAGATTAAATTGAATAACGACTTGTCCAACCTTATACTTTGCTCCAGAGTGCCGTGGTTCATTGTTTATTAATGTGTTTCTGCAGCATTTACCGACCGCTGCAGTGTTGGCTGCTCTTCCACGGGAGTTTATTCTCCTCCGTTAGCTCCCGGTTAGCTCACACTGCTGCGGCCGCTCTAAAGTATTCACTGTCCGACTCACACAAGCAGCTGATACATATCCCCAGTTCCCCTTAGCCTAAGTGAATGTGTGTCAGTCTGAATTGACGCGGTTTGGTATCACAACGCTGTTAGGAAAGTTTCTCTGGTATAAAATGGGTGATGTTAGCATAGCAACCGAAGCTAAACTGACTACTTGCTATTGCTATCCTATTGTGGCATAAACCGTTTTCTACAGGCACATTTTACCGGCGTATTTTTATTATGATTCTACTTGTGATAGTCGGACACGACAACCTGTGCAGCCCATGTATTGATTCCCTCTGATAGCTGCTATAATACAAAACAAAACATCTGCCTCTCTCCACAATGATCAATAACAATGAACGGATGGTCAAAGTAAGGTACAAATAAACAGAATCACACGAAGCCTGGTTAGTGTTGCCTGACTTTATAAAGTGTGTTTATAAGCACTACTGCTTGAAGGCAGGCATGACAGTCGACCCATGTTCAGGGGAGGTGGGTTTAGTTTCCTGCACGCCTCGACGTAAGAGAGACGTAAGCGACGCCACCTCTCATTGTTGACATGTTTTATACAAATGTATGTCTTGACTCATCAGAAACAGAATGAAAGTCTCCTATAAAAAGTATATATTTAAAACTATGTCAACTTTAAATGTAATGTTAATCTCAGAAAGGGTCTTATTTCAATTATAAATGTTATTAAGCATGTGAGGGTTTTATTACATATTAACACACGTTTAATCATCAAACGCTTAGTATAAAGCCTGACTGAATTATATAAACAATATTAGAAGGAAGAGAAAATGTTTTGAAAGATAATGTGGAGGCTGCAGCGTTGGCCCCGCCCAGCCGCTTTCCCGCTCTCCGTCTTCTCTTAGGTCCGCAGTGAATGTATAAATACTGCCGGTCACTCTGCTTCTACTCATTCGTTCTGAAAGAGCCGACATATCAATACCTGAAAATGAGTGGAAGAGGAAAAGGAGGAAAGGGACTCGGCAAAGGAGGCGCCAAGCGTCACCGCAAAGTTCTCCGTGATAACATCCAGGGCATCACCAAGCCCGCTATCCGCCGTCTGGCTCGCCGTGGCGGAGTGAAGCGTATCTCCGGTCTGATCTACGAGGAGACCCGTGGGGTGCTGAAGGTGTTCCTGGAGAATGTGATCCGTGATGCCGTCACCTACACCGAGCACGCCAAGAGGAAGACGGTGACCGCCATGGATGTGGTGTATGCCCTGAAGAGGCAGGGCCGCACTCTGTACGGCTTCGGAGGTTAAACATCTACACCCTGACATACCTGGAACAACAACGGCTCTTTTAAGAGCCACCCACATTACTCAAAAAGAGACATTCCTTTCGATGAACTTTATATCAAACCTAAACTCCATCTCCAAAACTCTTGCTATGATACTGGATATTAAAAATGTAGACAATTTCACAATGTTGTTTATCCGACATCCAATGATATGTTCGTAGAGGATAAAGTCTCCACAACTACAGCCACAACCACGACTGCTCCAAAAACTTCTGCTTCCAGCTGTGTGGGTTTTTTAAACTTTTGAAATATGTTTTAATGGTGAAATACACCGGGATATTGAGGACTAACTCATACTCAACTCAAAATCATACGTATTGGGATTCATGAGGATTAATACGTGTGGACTAGAGGGTGACAAGCATCACTTTCACCTCACTTTTTTATTTAAATTCCAACGTTGGTCATGAAAAATATGTGTTTCTCTGTTGTCCACGTTATACATAGTTAAAAACATATGAAAGAGTTAAAAGGACATTGATCCCAACCGATTTATTTATTCATGTACAACACATTATAAAACCCCAATAATAAAAATACATAATCAATGGAGGGTTAATTTGACATGTCATCCAATCTGTTTTGATTCTAAAACTCGTTAAGCGCATGCGCCGTCCTGCTCAGAAGACAACCAATCCCGTGCGAGCAACAGCACAGTAACATTTGCATCTGGTGAACATAAATAGACCGCTCTGTGACAAAGAAGTATCTCGACTCTGTCGCACCTCTCTCTCACATCATGCCTGCTGAAGCACCCCCCGTCAAAGCGGCCAAGAAGGGCTCCAAGAAAGCCGTCGCTAAGACCGCCACCAAGACTGGAAAGAAGAGGAGAAAGTCCAGGAAGGAGAGCTACGCCATCTACGTCTACAAGGTGATGAAGCAGGTCCACCCCGACACCGGCATCTCCTCCAAGGCCATGGGCATCATGAACTGCTTCGTGAGCGACATCTTTGAGCGCATCGCCGGTGAGGCCTCTCGTCTGGCTCACTACAACAAGCGCCGCACCATCACCTCCAGGGAGATCCAGACCGCTGTCCGCCTGCTGCTGCCCGGAGAGCTGGCTAAACACGCCGTGTCTGAGGGCACCAAGGCCGTGACCAAGTACACCAGCTCCAAGTAAACTCTGCTGCTGACATACCAACAACACAAAGGCTCTTTTAAGAGCCACCCAACCCATCCAAAGAGCTCATCCTGTTATACTCTATAACTACTCTACCAGAAATCTAAATAACTTAAATGTTATTTATACATAATGTTTTGTAAAGCAAGATAAACCATGATTGAATATTCATTCTTCACTATACATGTTTATACCACCTCACTGGTGTTTGTTTTTCCAAAATGAAAATAAATACATTTCACAATATGAAGGAAATATGGTGGTTATTTTACTGCAATCCTGAGAGAAAATGCTAAGTGGTAATCTTTATCTTAGCAAATCTTTAGAGGAGACAAATGAACACATTTATTATTAAATTATTCCTTTATTTCAGGGCGAGTTTTCACTACAAATTAAATCATAGTTATACATTAGAAAAGGACAGGGTTAGGGTTATATTATATTTAATCATATTTATTTCCCCCCTAAACTAAACTAAAGTTCATGTTGAGGATCCCCCGGATCATCCCCTGTGGAGGAGTGGATTACATTGTCCAATAGTAAAGCAGCTGCTCAGCGCACGTGTCTCCCGGCATGCACCAATCAGCGCTGCCCTGCTCCGGCAGCTCCTTTATAAAGCCGCTGCTCACAGAAAACACAGCACTCCTTCTCTCGCTGTGAACACTGAGAAACTACAATGGCCAGAACCAAGCAGACAGCTCGTAAATCCACCGGAGGAAAGGCTCCCAGGAAGCAGCTGGCCACCAAGGCTGCTCGTAAGAGCGCCCCGGCCACCGGCGGAGTGAAGAAACCTCACCGTTACAGGCCCGGTACCGTGGCTCTGAGGGAGATCCGCCGCTACCAGAAGTCCACCGAGCTGCTGATTCCGCAAGCTGCCCTTCCAGCGCCTCGTGAGGGAGATCGCTCAGGACTTCAAGACCGACCTGCGCTTCCAGAGCTCCGCCGTCATGGCTCTGCAGGAGTCCAGCGAGGCCTACCTGGTCGGCCTGTTCGAGGACACCAACCTGTGCGCCATCCACGCCAAGAGGGTCACCATCATGCCCAAGGACATCCAGCTGGCCCGCCGTATCCGCGGGGAGAGGGCTTAAACTGACCTGAGACCAGAACACCCAAACACAACGGCTCTTTTAAGAGCCACACACACTTTGAAAGAGTTACAATCCTACTCATTATTATTATGATACTGGTTCATATTAGGTTTGGTTAGCTGTACCGTGATGAATGAAACAAGAAAGGTTGTTGTTACAAAAACATTAAAATGTGAGCAATAGATCAGTGTAAACACAACGTATGTCAATTATGGATCATCCAAACTATTTATTTAAAATATTTATTAAAGTTCTAAAACCCAAACGTATATTCCTTAATAACTTTGGGGGATGGTTGTTTTAAGTGTACTAAAAGCTATCGTTATAACTTGTTCACTTTAAACACTATGAACAGGTGAGTAATAATAATGGATGTATTTTGTAAGCGCTCTTACAGGTGCTCAAAGTCGCTTTACAGAGATGGTGAAAAGAACAACACATACATATGGTTGAAGTCAAATAAAAAGAAAGCAATGACAACAGCCACACATTACAATCCAGATTGAAGAAGTGAAGTTCTTTGAAGGTGGTGAAGTGAAGTTCTTTGAAGGTGGTGAAGTGAAGTTCTTTGAAGGTGGTGAGGTCAGTATTGAGTTTTTTATTCTGTCAGTAAATTATCCAAATGAAATGTTTTTCATCATTTTAGTCAACCTGAGGACCACAGATGGAAATGAGCTATTAGCTACAATCTGACATATTGCATCTCTTCTCTTTGCTGAGATTAATGTATTTGTATGCATGGTCCTTCTATAAATAAATACATACATAAATAACCCTAAACTAATTCATTGTACCTTTTAATAATGACCTTACTTGGTCGCCAACGTTAGCTTCACTTCAGAAAATCAAATCTGTTGTGAGAAAAATCAAATAATTGTTTATGATAGGAACTTGCCCTCCTACTGAAAAACAGTCGGATAGAGATTTAACAGCATAGTTTAGTCCAACGTTTCATTTGATTGGTTTATCCTTATTAACACATGTCATTATTTTAAAGGTAATCAAGCCAAGAACCATTCATTTAACAATGTTACAACAGAACATTGAATATAAACTTTAACTAATGTAAAAGTATAAACGGTACTAAAATAATAAAAGGCCATAATATAGTTTGTTACTATGCCAATAGAAAAAAAGTTACTGTGATTAAGGCAAAGTGACAAAACGGATAATATGGATTACTTGACTGTATTTTGCTTTAGTGAAATTGTTCTCCCACCAAGATGTTTGATGCATCAGTAAAATAAGAAAGCACGTTTTAGATTCATTTCACAACAGAGTCAACTATTTCCTAAAGAATATGACATCAATCTCATAACGGAACAATTGATGAAGAATATGCTTAAGACTTCCTGATCATTACAAATGTACAAAACACATGTAAGTATTATTGGTGATTTTCTATCATATTGTATTAGCTTGAAACAGAACTTTTTCACAGTTATGATAAGTTTGTATTAAACTGTGTATTTTGTTATTATTAATATAAACTTTAGACTGTTTAAAATCGATTTAGTTGTTTTGTTTGTAATTTAAAAGCTATCAAAAATAGTTCAGATATGTTTTAAACCTATTGACAATACACATGTATTTGATTAAATATGGTCAAAGAAATAGAAAATGACAAACAGCTTTGGGGTTCATCAGAAGACCTTTATTTGTCCCAGACAGCAAAGTTACATAATACACAATACAGCACTTCCATTTTAAAATAAAACACGATTAAAAACAGGAACACATTCAGGGGGATATAAATATGAGGAGTACGTCCTCCCTCACACTCATCCCTCCTCGGACAGTCCTCTGTGGCTGGAGCCGTCAGGCTGAACAGCCAGGGGCCGAACCTGGAACCAAGTAACAGTAACTGTACTGTTTGTACAAACACCTGCACACTTACATGGCAATATATCTAACAATCCGAACACAAATATCTATTTATCACAACAGTTACTATATTATTTTATTTGAATATCATTTTGTATCCTTGTGAATCTGTACTGTCCTGTTTTTCAATCTCACTCTGTTTCTAATAATAATAATAATAATAATTTCAATTTATATAGCGCCTTTCACGAAACCCAAGGACGCTTTACAATGGGAAGTAACAAAACAAAAAGTAATAATAAAGATACATAGGCTGAAGAAAACAAAACAGGAACAGGTTGCTGAGTACTGTATATTAGTTGAGGCCAAAGGCCTGAGTGAACAGATGGTGTTTGAGGTGTTTTTTGAAGGTGTCCAGAGTGTCTGCATTCCTGATTGCAGAGGGGAGAGAATTCCAGAGGGTGGGGGCTGCGACACTGAAGGCTCTGTTGCCAAATGTTTTCAGCTTGGAGCGCTGGATGGAGAGCAGCCCTTTGTCAGAGGACCGCAGGTGACGAGAGGGGGTGTAGGGCTGAAGGAGGTCAGAGCTGTATGGAGGGGCTAGGGAGTGGAGAGATTTGTAAGTTAGCAGGAGGAGTTTGTACTGGATCCGTGACTTGACCGGGAGCCAGTGAAGGTGGATGAGGGTAGGGGTGATGTGTTGCCAGGGCTTAGTGTGGGTGAGGAGCCTGGCTGCAGAGTTCTGGACGTACTGGAGCCTGTCCAGGGCTTTGCTGGTGACCCCGAACAGAACTCCATTGCAGTAGTCCAGACGAGAAGAGATGAAGGTATGAATTAATGTTTCTGCAACGGGGTCGGGGAGAGAGGGCCGGAGTCTGGAGATGTTTCGTAGGTGAAAAAATGCAGTTTTGACAGTAGACCTGATGTGGGAGTTGAAGGTGAGGCTAGAGTCCAGAGTGACGCCTAGGCTGCGAACCTCAGGGGAAGGGTGGATGGAGCCGCCATCGATGGTGAGGAGCAGATCTCCAACCTTCCGGAGCAGTGTTTTTGGGGCCACAACCATGAGCTCTGTTTTGTTATTGTTGAGTTTAAGTAGATTTTTTGACATCCAGGCTTGGATGTCGCGGAGGCAGTTGACAAGTGACAGTGGGGGTAGCTGGGATGATGGATTGGTACTGATGTAGAGTTGGGTGTCGTCGGCATAGGAGTGGAAGTTGAGACCATGTCGGCGGATGATTTCACCGAGGGGGAGCATGTAGATGTTGAATAGAAGGGGGCCGAGCACCGAACCTTGCGGCACACCTTGGTTGACAGGGGCTGGGGGAGAGCTGGATTTTCCGATGGTCACAAACTGTTGCCTGTTGGAGAGGTAGGAATGGAACCAGGAGAGGGCTGTACCAGAGAGGTAGACGGATAGGCGGTTGAGTAGGATAGTGTGGGAGACTGTGTCGAATGCGGCGGAGATGTCCAGGAGGATAAGGATGCTGACGAGGCCTGAATCGGCGGCTATGAGGAGGTCATTGGTTATTTTAATAAGGGCCGTCTCTGTGCTGTGGTTGGATCTGAAGCCTGATTGGAAGGGTTCGTAGAGCTCATGGTCGGACATATGATGGTGGAGTTGGGCAGCAACTGCTCTTTCCATGATCTTGCTAAGAAAAGGATGGTTGGAGATTGGCCGGAAGTTGCTGGGGTCCTCGGGGTCGAGACCAGGTTTTTTGACGATGGGGGTGACAGCTGCTATCTTGAGGACGGCGGGAACCTTGCCTGATTCCAGGGAGGAGTTGATAATTTTAACAATGGTGGAGCAGAGGATGGGTAGGCAAGTTTTGACCAGGGCAGAGGGCATGGGGTCGAGGGAGCAGGTTGTAGCCTTAGCTTTTGAGACAAGTTTGGTAACCTGTGTGGCATCCACTGGTGAATAGGAGGAAAGATAACATTGAGGCAGGTGTTGAGTTGAGCGAACAGTGACTGGAGGTGGTGTGGCATGTGGATGGGATGGGGCAGAGGCCTGGAGTTCCTGGTGGATGGAGTTGACTTTGTCCTCAAAGAAGTCAAGGAACCTGGTGCAAAGCTCGGGGGCGTCTGCTGGGTTGGGGGGGTCAATTGGGCGGAGTAGGCGGTTTATGGTGGAGAAGAGCATACAGGGGTGGTGTTGCTGGTTACCGATGAGTGAGGAGTAGTAGTGTGCCTTAGCTTTTGAGAAGGCGTCCTTGTAAGATTTGACATGCTCTCTATACGCCTCCAGATGGACGGTGAGGCCAGATTTTTTGTGGAGCCGCTCCAGTTGGCGGCCAGAGGCTTTCATTGCACGGAGACTGGTGGTGAACCAGGGGGCTGAGTGGGTGAAGGAGACAGTGCGGGTAATGAGGGGGGCAAGTGAGTCGAGACTCAGGGAAAGAGCAGTGTTGTACTGGGCTACCAGTCCGTCAACCGAGGTGTCAGGGGGATCGGAGGCCAGGTGGCTAGCTATGAGGCTGGTTATGGCTGGTGCGCTCACTGATTTTAAGCTCCTGTAGGTAATTGTCCGCAGTACAAGCTGTCTGGGGAGGGCGATAGGCACAGTTTTCTGGATTTAAATGTCTCCAAAACCCAGGAATTGATCATTGATTTTAGACGTCACAAGAATGTTCCTAAGGAGTGCATCATACACAATGACAAGGTAGAAATTGTCACATCATACAAATACTTCGGCACCATTTTCGATGACCACCTCAAATTTGATGTGAATACTGAGTGTATTGTGAAGCGGGGTCAACAGAGAATGCACCTTCTTCGCAAACTGAACTCTTTCTCTGTCAGGCCCTTCATTCTTTGTCGTTTTTATCAAGCATTCATTGAGAGCCTCATTTGTTTTTCTTTTATCTGCTGGTTCCATAGCCTTACACTGAAAGACAGGAACAGCCTGAACAGCATTGTTAAAACCTGCTCCAAGATCATCGGCGTGAAACAGAGAGACTTAAATTCCTTCTGTAACCAGCAGATTCTGCGGAAAGCAGAGAGCATTCTGAACTCTCCAGGTCATGTTCTTTCACATGAATTTCGTCTGTTGCCATCAGGGCGAAGATATGCTCTACCTGCTCAAAGGACTAATCGCTTTTCTAAATCATTCATCCCTTCTGCACTCAAACTTTTAAATTCTTGAAAAGGCTTTTAACTTTTTATTTATTTATTTATTATTGTGATGCTTTGAACTATTTATAGTGTAAATTAGAATTATTCACATCTGTGCTCCCGGGTGTATCTGTGTGTTTTTCTTCTTGTATGTTCTTGCCTGTGTACATGACATAAGCTGCTGCTCATAACCAATTGCCCCTTGCGGGATTAATAAAGTTGTTGATTGATTGATTGAGTGAACAGGATGGCATGATGGTCGGAGACAGCCAGGTTGAGGCACTGCAGGTGGGATGCAGTTGTGCCAGTGGTACATACCAAATCCAGGGTGTGGCCTTTGGCATGGGTGGGATCATGGACATGCTGTTCAAAATTGAAGCAGTCCAGAAGTTTCTGCTTTAAATGCTACGGTACGCTATTGATCGGTGAACTGCAGACACCTGCCAATAAGTAATACTGATATAGTGTGAACTGAGTTAAACACTAATGATGGGTCCAACACACGTTGTGGCTTTATTTATGTGGACTGACAGATGTAGAAACCACACCGCTATTCATTTGAGAATGTGGTGATTAACCTGCTGGATGTACGAAGGAAATTGTGAAAAGTAGTTTGCTTTAGTTGAAATAAGGCT